TATCATTTCACCCACCCAATTTGACTCCCGTGGGGTATTAGGTACCATGGTAAACATCTCGGCAATTTTTATTTCTGGGCCAAAAAAGGTCAAAAAATTCCAAAATTGAAGGCTATTATCAACGTTTTTTAAGGAAGTTTTGACGTTTCGGGTTCCGGAGGAGAAAAATCTGGACACCCTAGGGGATACATTTTAGGGTCATATAATGACTTTTGGAACCATATATGTCAAATATATGTTGTCATAAATGTCCGTGGTAGGCTTGAGTTCACGAAATCGGTGCAAATTTTGAACAAGCAAATTGAACGTTTTAAGGCAAATTAGATAGTTTCACGCACACAATTGGACACCCGGAGGGTATGGGGGACCATGGTAAATATCTCAACAAATTTTTTTTTCCGGGAAAAAAAAGGTCAAAATATTTCAAAATTAAAGGCTATTATCCACGATTTTGAGGAATTTTTGACGTTACGGGGTCAAATGGAGAAAAGTCTTGAGACCCTAGAGGATACATTTTAGGAACATTTAATGACGTTTGGAACCATAGATAACCATTATATGTTTTCATAAATGTCTGTGGTAGGCTTGATTTCACGAAATCGGTGAATGTTTAGAACAGGCTAATTGAGCGTTTTAAGGCAAATTAGATGGTTCCACCCACCCAATTGGACTCCCGGAGAGTATTGGGGACCAAGGTAAACTTCTCGGCAATTTTTATTTTTGAGCAAATAAAGGTCAAAAAAATTCAAAATTGAAGGCCATAATCCATGCATTTTGAGGAATTTTTGACGTTACGGGGTCTGGTGGCGAAAAATCTTGAGTCTCTAGAGGATACAGTTTAGGGTAATACAATGAAGTTTGGAGCCATATATAACCATTATATGTTGTTATAAATGTCCGTGGAAGGCTTGAGTTTACGAAATCGGTGCAAGTTTCGAATGGACAAATTGAGTGTTATAAGGTAAATTAGATGGTTCTACCCACCAATTTGACTCCCGTAGGATATTAGGTATCATGGTAAACATCTCGGAATTTTTTTTTATGGGCAAAAAAAGGTCAAAAAATTTCAAAATTGAAGGCTATTATCCACGTTTTTTGAGGAATTTTTGACGTTACGGGTTCCGGTGGAGAAAAATCTTGAGACCCTAGGGGATACAATTTAGGGTGATATAATGACGTTTGGAACCATATATGTCCATTATATGTTGTCATAAATGTCCGTGGTAGGCTTGAGTTCACGAAATCGGTGCAAATTTCGAAAGGGCAAATTGAGCGTTTTAAGGCAAATTATATGGTTTATTTCACCTACACAATTGGACCCTCGGAGGGTATTAGGAACCATGGTAAACATCTCAGCAAATTTTATTTCCGGGCAGAAAAGGTCAAAATATTTCAAAATTAAAGTTTATTATCCACGCTTTTTTAGGAATTTTTTACGTTACGGGGTCCAGTGGAGAAAAGTCTTGAGACCCTACTGGATACATTTTAGGGTCATTTAATGACGTTTGGAACCATAGATAACCATTATATGTTTTCATAAATGTCCATGATAGAATTGAACTCACGAAATCGGTGAATGTTTAGAACAGGCTAATTGAGCGTTTTATGGCCAATTAGATGGTTCCACCCACCCAATTGGACTCTCGGAGAGTATTGGGGACCATGTTAAATTTCTCGGAAATTTTTATTTTCGAGAAAATAAAGGTAAAAAAATTTCAAAATTTAAAGGCTATCCACGCATTTTGAGGAATTTTTGACGTTACGGGGTTCGGTGGCGAAAAATCTTAAGTCCCTAGAGGATACAGTTTAGGGTAATACAATGACGTTTGGAGCCATATATAACATTATATGTTGTTATAAATGTTTGTGGTAGGCTTGAGTTTAAGAAATCGTTGCAAGTTTCGAATGGACAAATTGAGTGTTATAAGTTAAATTAGATGGTTCCACCCACCCAATTTGACTTTAGTAGGGTATTAGGTATCATGGTAAACATCTCATCAATTTTTATTTATTGGCAAAAAAAGGTCAAAAAATTCCAAATTGAAGGCTATTATCCACGTTTTTTGAGGAATATTTGACGTTACTGGTTCCAGTGGAGAAAAATCTTGAGACCCTAGGGGATAGATTTTAGGGTGATATAATGACGTTTGGAACCATATATGTCCATTACATGTTGTCATAAATGTCCGTGGTAGGCTTGAGTTCACGAAATCAGTACGAATTTCGAACGGGCAAATAGAGCGTTTTAAGGCAAATTAGATGGTTTTACTAACTCAATTGGACTCCTGGTGGGTATTAGGGACCGTGGTAAACATCTCGGCAAATTTATTTCCTGACAAAAAAAGGTCAAAATATTTCAAAAAATTGAAGGCTATTATCCACGCTTTTTGAGGAATTTTTGACGTTACGGGGTCCAGTGGAGAAAAGTCTTGAGACCCTAGAGGAAACATTTTAGGGTCATTTAATGAAGTTTGGAGCCATAGATAACCATGATACGTTTTCATAAATATCTGTGATAGGCTTGAATTCACGAAATTGGTGAATGTTTAGAACAAGCTAATTGAGCGTTTTAAGGCAAATTAGATGGTTCCACCTACCCAATTGGACTCCCGGAGGGTATTGAGTGCCATGGTAAACTTCTCGGCAATTTTTATTTTTGGACAAATAAAGGTAAAAAAATTTCAAAATTGAAGGCTATTATCCACGCATTTTGAGGAATTTTTGACGTTACGGGGTCCGATGGAGAAATGTCTTGAGACCCTAGAGGATACAGTTTAGGGTAATATAATGACGTTGGAGTCATATATAACCATTAGATGTTGTTATACATGTCTGTGCAGTGCGTGGTAGGCTTGAGTTTACGAAATCGGTTCAAGTTTTAAATGGACAAATTGAGTGTTATAAGGAAAATTAGATGGTTCCACCCACTCAATTTGACTCCCGTAGGGTTATAGGTACCATGGTAAACATCTCGGAAATTTTTATTTCTGGGCCAAAAAAGGAAAAAAAAATCCAAAATTGAAGGCTATTATCCACGTTTTTTAAGGAATTTTTAACGTTACAGGTTCCGATGGAGAAAAATCTTGAGACCCTAGGGAATACATTTTAGGGTGATATAATGAAGTTTGGAACCATATATGTCCATTATATGTTGTCATAAATGTCCGTGGTAGGCTTGAGTTCCAGAAATCGGTGTAAATTTCGAACAGGCAAATTGAGCGTTTTAAGGCAAATTAGATGGTTTCACCCACACAATTGGACTCTTGGAGGGAATTAGGGACCATGGTAAACATCTCAGAAAATTCTACGGGCAAAAAAAGGTCAAAATATTTCAAAATTGAAGGCTATTATCCACGCTTTTTGAGGAATTTTGACGTTACGGGTTCCAGTGGAGAAAAGTCTTGAGACCCTAGAGGATACATTTTAGGGTAATGTAATGATGTATGGAGCCATATATAACCATTATATATATGTTGTTATAAGTATCCGTGGTAGGCTTGAGTTCACGAAATCGGTGCAAATTTTGAACAGGCAAATTGAGTATTTTAAGACAAATTAGATGGTTCTTCCCACACAATTGGACTCCCGGAGGGTATTAGGGACCATGGTAAACATTTCGGCAAATTTTATTTCCGGGTAAAAAAATGTCAAAATATTCCAAAATTGAAGGCTATTATCCACGCTTTTTAAGGAATTTTTGACGTTACGGGGTTCGGTGGAGAAAAGTGTTGAGACCCTAGAGGATACACTTTAGGGTCATATAATGACGTTTGGAACCATAGATAGTCTTTTATGTTTTCATAAATGTTCGTGGTAGGCTTGAGTTTACGAAATCGGTGCAAGTTTCGAACAGGCTAATTAAGCGTTTTAAGGCAAATTAGATATATGGTTCCACCCACCCAATTGGACCCCCGGAGGATATTGGGGACCATGGTAAACTTCTCGGCAAATTTTATTTTCAGGCAAAAAAAAGGTCAAAATATTCCAAAATTGAAGGCTATTATCCATGCTTTTTGAGGAAATTTTGACGTTATGGGACCCGGTTACGAAAAGTCTTGAGATCCTAGGGAATACATTTTATGGTCATATAATGACATTTGGAACCACATATGACCATTATATGTTGTCATAAATGTCTGTGATAGGCTTGAGTTCACCAAATGGCCTCTTAGTACACAATTATAAATTTGCACCAAGGTTAGGGATTGGGCTTTGCAGGCGTTAGCTTAGTAATGTCTGTCCAACATGATTTTATGTGACACGTGTGATCAATTTTTTTTTTTTTTCCGTATGTAAAGAAAACCACAATAGCAGTGATGTTACTGATGTAAATAGCACTACAAGAAATAAGATCAAAGAAGGCAACTTTAATCGCCCTCTTAGAGCCAAATTTTGCCTTCTTAGGCAAAGAGGGCGACTTTTAAATCGCCCTAAAGTCGCCCTCTTAGCATCATTGTATTAGCTTCGGAGGGCAATTTAGATGTTTCGCCCTCTTTGTATGAGATCTAAGAGGGCGAAAAATTTTGCCCTCTTTGACTGATTCAAGCAGGGCAACTAGTTTTATCGCCCTATGAAATCAACTCAAACAGGGCACCTTAGTCGTCCTCTTTGTCCATTATCAAGAAGGGCAAAGCAAAAAATCGCCCTGTTTGTTGTTTTTTTTACAAAAAAAAAAATAGTTCTCTAGTACAGGGCATATGATAATAGTAAAAAAAAAGTAATATAATAAATTATATAATTATGTAATCAACATTATTTATTAGCAAAAAGTATATTACAAGAGAATGTCTTTACAAGAAAAATATATATATAAAAAAAATAGAAAAAAAAAATGCTACTTGTACAACAAACATAATTAAACTAACATAATGCACAACTACAATATAATTTTTTACCAATTGGTTGTTGGTGTAGTGGTGATTGAGACTACACTTGGTAGGGAGGACCCGTGTTCGATCCCCCGCAACAACAATCGGGAGGGGACTGGAACCTAACCACCCAGAACTGATCCCCCAATCCGGATTAGCCCAAAGGGTGAACCGGATGGAACACCAAAAAAAAAAAAAAAAACAATATAATTTTTACTCCATCGCTAGTGAAGCTGAAAATTATTGTTTGAGTGTCCTTGGACTTGTCTTCACCTATCTTCCACATTAGAGTTGCAATTAATCATCAGAATTCAGTTTTACTCTTCAATTCAATTATTCCAGTAATGTTGTTACTCCATTTTCTGAAGGAATCAAAGAATCAAAAGTTTAACAGAAGAGGGTAAATAGTGAAAGAAAAAAATAAAAATGTTATAGGTTATTAATACATACAAAAGCATCAGAAATTCAGAACTGACCTTGCCCAACAAGTATTGCAGAATTGATGTCTACAAAGTAATCTGTTCAAAGTTATCCCACATACAAAGTAATCTGTCCAACAAAACTCAAGCTTAGCTCATAGGAGGTTTTCAACAATGAAAAAATTACTGACTCCCGGAAATGTTAACACACTTATGCAACACATAATCAAGCTTGCCAAGGAAAGATATGTAAGAATATGATGATCAGATCATTCTATCAGGAACCTAATTAAGCCTATTAAAGATATGAAATGTTTCTGCATTATAATAATTAATTTTAATGCTAATCTGTGGAATAATTCCTCAATCAGTAGTTACTTAGCTTGTTCACTGTGTAATCTTTGAAGCAAAACAAGTAGGAATAGATGAATAGAGTTGCATATTGGGACTTTTCACTGTGTAAGTACCTCTTGGAGTAGCTTTGCGGCATAGATTGCAGTTAATGGTGTTTGTTCAGCACTCTTCCAAACAATTGTATACCTGCTAAGGTAGGCGCAACCTTCCACACAAACATGAATTAGAGAAATTCAATGGGAAATTCCACACAAACTAAAGACACTTCATCTCATTAGATAAACACACATTGGTAAATTAGACCTTCGGGAATAGGAAAAAAAAAAAAAAAAAAAAAAAAAAAAAAAAGAGGCAATGCTAACACCTTAGCCTGTTTCAACACTCACCTGCATAATATCTCATTAGACGAACACACATTGGTAATTCGGCTTTAGCACCTTGCTCATATGGCTTGCCATTGTCCCAAGTCGATCTCAAGGGAAGCTATCTCATCAGTATGCTACTCAATGACTCTAGAGCAGTTGAACATATAACACTTTAGCCAGTTCAGAAATTGCAATTTACACACATCAATTTTCAAATTCCAACACCAAAATTAACAAAGAAATATGATGCTTAAAATTTGAATTTTTAAACTCAACCAAACTAATAGAAAATTGGTCATTCATAACCAATTTGTTGTATAAATGCAGATTCACAATTATTAAAAAATAATAATAATAATGCAGCTGAACAAATCTCAGATTATAGACATGTATAATGAAAAAAATAAACAATAATTAATTAAAAAAACAACAAATTATTCAAATAATACCATAATTTAGCGACTTGACTAAAGAATTTGATCAACGAACCAAACTAATTGTGCTTCAAACCCTAAATTAAATATAATGAGACAATTAATTAGCAGTAAATCCTAGATTGTGAAATTGAAATTTGAGAATTTAATACATTACCTAAGAAGGTGCTTCAATAGAGGAAATTGCTTCAGCGGAGGAAAAAGCTCAGAGGCTGCTTCAATGGAGGAGAAAGCTCAGAACTCGCTGCAATCACGACAATCGAAAGCTAAACTCCATAAATTTCGCATGATATGCAACAAATTTCGAATCCTAACAACAATTTATAAAAATTCGAACAAATTAACTAGTTGTAAACCCTAGACTTTGAAATTGATATATTCGATAATTTAAGAAATACTACCTGATAAACTGATTTGATGGAGGAGCTACTTCAATTGGAGGAGAAAGCTCAGAAGCTGCTTCAATGGAGAAGAAAGCTTGAAAATCGCTTTAATGGAGAAGAAAGCTCAAAATCCGCTTCAATGGAGAATACGAATGAAATATGTTTTATATTTTGAGGAGAGAGAAACATTTTACAATTTTATATTTTTGGGTTTGTCTTACTCCGTAGTGTTTTACTGAGTACTCGTCTAGTCGTCTTTGTTATTTGTGCGAGAAAGGAGCCAAAAAAGACAAATTTTTACAATTCGCCCTTGTTGTTTGATCAAAGAGAGCAAATTTACTTTTATCGCCCTTATTGATCAAATATAAGACAACGACTTGTTTTTCGCCCTCTTTGATAACAATGAAATAGGGCGAGTTACGTATGCCCTGCTTGATAGTTTATAAGGAGGCAAAATTCAAATTGCCCTCTTTGCCAAAATAAAGTCGCCCTCCTTGAACTATTTTCTTGTAGTGTAGCCATTAAACGCAAGGGGTAACACTATACTTTGTATTCATTATTGTATTATTAATAAAGCAAGAACATTATTATGTATAATAGCACAAGTGCGTACCACGTTTGTCTACATAACGAGAGGACTTTCTTGTGAATTACAAAAGCTTTATTTATGTATTAAAATGTCTGCTTGCTTAATTAGCTTCGTGACCTTAGGAGCATGCATATCCAGGATATCCTACACATGCAATTCGTTTTTAGGAGGCTAATTAATGAACCATGCAACCACAATACGAGCATCACCATTGATTGCTGCGTGAGCTTTGCCTCCTAAAACTGGGTCTTCGTACAAACTTGACTCTCCAGATGCATCTAGTTTCACTTCAATTACATTCCAATCGACATCTCCTATTGGCTCGGCTTCTGCATAAACCTGTAAACAATATTTTTTTGTAAAAAAAATCGAAGGGTTACTTTTTTTAATTTGCAAGTAACGTGCGTGACTTAAGAAATACATATACTCCCTCCGTTACATATTACTCACAACAAAGGGGTATTATTTGTGAGACATAAAATATTCCTTTGTTGCGAGTGGTATGTAACAGAGGGGTAGAATATAGATGATAATAATTGACAAATTTTAAGTACAGAGAATAAATTGTTCATCTGTACCTTGTTATTAGAATAATCAAACGCAATGAGCCATTTCCGTGCAGTGGAGTCATCACCATCAGCATAAACCACGCCCCCTTTAGACCCTTGTGGAAGAGGGCCTTGGTGCTTGAACTCGATTGGATGTTTCTGACGCGGAATAAATTGGGGGTAGCTCAGTACTGGATTTCCAGACCAGTTGTGTTGATCATGTAGTCGCAAAGTTACAGGGTCCTTGTGTCGATTTGAAATGTAACCAGAAGAAACAACCTCCTCCTTAGCACTAACCTTGGGCTCCAAAGCTGCTTTATCCCTTGCAGCTTTAATCAGCTCCTCGAAAATAGCCTTTTCCTCATCGCTAAGCAATGCTGTCGAGACTTGTTGGGTTGCAGCGGCCATGCTTTTCTTAGCCTGTCTATCATTACAGGTTTAAAATAGTATTATGGCTTTGGTTTAATCAAGTTTAGTATATATGCTACATACACTCTACTTGCTGCTTATAGTATATTGAAGTAATATTAAGAAAATTAGTCCATATGTCATTGAGACCGTAGATGTGTTCAATATTTATAAAGAATTGTAAAATAGATGAGATTTGAACACGTGATATTCTTGTCATGCTGGGTAAGCACATGTCAAATATTTAATTCAACCAAGTCAATGGTCAGGAATTTGGAATTTATTTTGGATGCATTTCATCTCACAGTTTAGGGATTTGAAGGACCCCAAATCATCTCATGATTCCATTTTAAAACAATTGGATACACAAGAGTAATTAACCGTGAACTACTAGGAAGAAGAGTTATGTACTTACCTGAACTTTAGTTATGTAGAAAATATGTCGGAAGCTACACTGTCTAATAGTGATATTGATCAATCATTCAATCTATCGCGGGTTTATTTATAGTCGGGTGTCAATAGAAAGATTGATTAAAAAAGACATAAAACTAACTATTATTTTTGCTAAAAGATACAATAATGGAGAATTTGTTCTAGTTAAAAAGATGGTTCACGGGGGTCACCATGAAACAATGGGAAATTCTACATAATCCAATGATAGATACTTTGTTCTTAATCAATTGCAATATACTCGGTAAGTCGGTATTTTTATTTTCAGGGGCTTTATGTCAATGTCAAATTTGATTCGAATGAGTACATATGTAGTTTAGTCATATTGGTTATATCAAATTGTTATATTTTATACTAATATGCAATTAAGAATATTTATGGTAAAAGTTATACATTGGCAAACGTGTGCATTAAATTTTCCAAAATTTAATAATGTAGTTGTTTAGTAAGTAAATAAATATCCATCCATTAGCAAAGAAATCCTTCAATTTTAAACCTAAACCCTAATTTTAATGAAGAACCCTAATCCCCAAATTAAAAACCCTAACTCAAATATTGGGGGAATTTAAAATTACAACTAAATATAAACCCTTACCCCTAAATTTCACATTATTTACAAACGTAATTGATGATTTAAAATTGTAATCAATTTTAAATTTTTTGGTAGCTTAACCTGAGTATAGATTTCACACAATATTTTAGGGTCTGTTCTGTTTACCTTATTTTCACTTATTTCAGGTTTAATAATTCAGATAAGTTCAGTTAAGGAAAAATACGTTCTGGAAAGGGTTGTCCAAGTTCAAATTAATTGTTGCTAAAACAAGTTTTTGATAAGGTTCAATAAGTTTAGATAAGTTTAGGCCATATAAGTTTAAATAAGTTCATATAAGTAAAAAAAATCAAGTGATGAATAGAACCCTGTGTTTCAAGTTAATTGAAATAGATTCCTATTAATTGCAACACTTATTTTATTGGTAAAGGCCTTCATTATATTGATACATATTAAGCATTCAAGTGTATTGTTGCGATTAATCGAATATGGAAGGAGCAAATATTTAGTGTTACCAAACTTTTTAAGTTTTTATGATAGTTTCTTTTTTGAAAAATTAAATGGTACTCCGTAAATATTTCAAAAAGGCATATAAATACAAAAAGGGCATTATTCGCACTGGTTAAGCGGTCCAAATAACTTTTTTTTAAAATTATTCTAGGCATTATTCGCACCAGTTCGTTAACCAGTGCTAATAACTATTAATAATCAGGCTTATTAACATCCCTCAAATCCAAACCAGTTCAAAGTCGGTGCGAAAAACCAGTTTTGAACCGGTGCACATTTCTCTTTTTCTACCAGTAAAGGTAAGTTTGTACTATATATTCATTTTCTTCTCTTTCCTTGTTTCAGCTACTACTTTTTTTTTTCTTGCTAATAACGAGCGCCACCAAGCGTTAGATAATTAATTGATATATTTTTTAAAATAATACAGTATTAAATTTAAAATGCATGTCAAAATCAGACATCGATCAATGTAACTTATATTAGAAAGCACAAGATAATGTACTACACTTAAGTCAATAACATTACATTTCTTAGCACAAATATGCCGGCATAACAAGAAGACTTTTTTTTATTGTGAATAATTACTACGGAGTAGTAACTTATTATAACATGCCTACTTGCAGCACGACCTTAAACCGGAGTTCATACATCCCAACACATTACAACTCTTTAGCAAGCTATTCGTAGCGTAGGCTAATTAGAGAACCATGCAACTACAATATCACCGTTGTTTCCGGCTTCAGCTCTGCCTCCGAAAACTGGATCCACTGAAACACTTGAATTTCCGGATGCATCAAGTCTAACTTCAATAACATTCCAATCAACTGGTCCTATTGGCCCAGCTTCTACGTAAACCTGTTAATCATTTTATTTGATTTTTAGTAATTGATACAAATATATTTTTATGTATCAAGAAACAGAGAAAGTATACATATATATAATCTACATATGTACCTTCTTTTTTAAAAGGTCAAAAGCCACGAGCCACTTCCGTGTAGTGGAGTCTACACCATCAGCGTAAACTACACCTCCCTTGGACCCTTCTGGAAGAGGTCCATGGTGCTTGAATTCAATGGGATCTTGGCTAACTACAATAGTTTGGGGGTAGCTCGGCACTGGATTTCCAGACCAGTTATGTTGATCAAGTATCTGCAAAGATACATTGTTCTTGTGACGATTTACGATGAAACCATGAGTAATAACTTCATCTTTAGCATCCAAAACTTTTTTGTCCTTCGATGCTGCTGTTAGCTGCTCGAAAGTAGCCTTGTTCTCGTCACTAAGCACTGCTGCCGGGACTTGTTGGGTTGCAGCCATTTTTTTTCTTAGCCTGTTCAACAACAAGAGTACGTAAATACCACTTCCTCCCTCTCAAATTCAAAATTTTACACGATAAATATTTTTCTTAGTTCGCTGTAGTCTTGATATATGATCAAATTCAAAATTTTACACGATAAATATTTTAGCATACCATACCATACCATTCTTATTTTTTAAATAAAAATGAAATATTAGAAGGAAGAGTTACTTACCGAGTTACCGTTACTTTGACACACGTAATGTAGAAAATATGTTACAAGCTACAAATATATAAATATAATAGCTAATTAAAATGGACAATGATCAACTACTTATATAAAGGGCATCAAAGTAAGAAGAAAATGTTTTAAAAAGAGAAGATAGAAAAGTTGAAAATTCGTTTTTGATCAAAGACATGCACTAATGGCGAATTCATTCTAGATATAAAGAAGGTTCTTGAGCGCACAATAATATTATACTAGTAATTAGTGAGGGAGCTCTAGTTAATCTCCGAGATTAACATTCCAAGTTAATCTCCTCTCACAATTTTATACATTTATTTTCATGCCACTTTACTATTTCACTTTTATTATTTAAAAAATAAAAAGTAAAATAATATATTGTGAGAGGAGATTAATTTTTCATGTCAATTTCAGAGTTTAATTTAACTTGAATTCTCTCTTAATTAATAGGGAAATTTTGTATGATTCTACATTGGTTAATATACCAACCTAACCTTGGTTTAATGGAAAAAAGAGCACAATTTATTAACATTCATTTGAGGTAGATTTAACCGTTGAAGCTAAGGTTACATTAGTTCAATCCTCAATAAGGGCTTTTAGGACAGAGGATTCCTTTTCCCCTACTCTCCTAGAGTTTTAATCCGCTAACCTAATTCAGGTCGACGCGACTTATGCGAGGGATTATGGTCTTATAGGTTTGGAGTCTGGTAAGGTAGACCTTTCATCAATAATGGATACGGAGTTATATCAAAATAAACAGATAAAAAATTATGTACTTCGATGACCAAAATAATGCGCTTGAGTTCTATAAGATGACAAATCATATTTCCTCTGACACCTCAATTCTTTTATAATTAACACGGTTTGACTTATGATATTATTCATAAATTTTACTTTGACTAGTTTTTATAAATTATAGTTACGGAGTATGATAAAATTTAATTATGATGTATGGTTGTATAAAGGGTTTTGTTAGAATTATTTCAATGTATATTTTCATAATATCAAAACTTATATAATTTATACATTTATAATTGGATGTATTAATCATTGGCTAATTAGAAAATCAATCACTAGTGCCACTACACCAAAATCTAGTATAAGAAATGCAAGATATAAAACGGTTAGCTTTGATGACCGTTCTCTAAAACTATATAGAACGTATATGTCTTACAACCGTTTTATAAGTAAAAGAATATAGAACTGTTACCTATCTAACCGTTCATCATTGTTTTCACACATTAAAAAAATTATTGAATTAAAAATAATTAAAAAGATGGAGAACGGTCCTCTTTTGAAACCGTTGAATATAGTAATTATATTGCCACCCATTTTGGCCATTGATAATTATTCCTTTTTATTTAAATTTTTGTATTTGAATCAGTTTTAATTCCAGCAACGAGCAATTACTTTTTAAAAAGATAAAATTAAACAAACCACCCAAAAACCTATCCCTTCATGTATCAATGTATGCTCACCTTCAATCGCCGCCTCTTATTTTCTGGATATTTTTTTTTGTTTGCTCATTCAACAAATCACATGAATCTTAACCTCTTTCATTAGATATATCACCACTCTATCCCCTATTATCACCGAGATGCAATCAAGTAGAGATGTTGAAGAGAAAAGAAAACAATATATGCGGTAGTAATGTGCCTCGTTATCAATCGGGGAATTTCAAGTACAATTAACCCATTAATTAGCTTTTGTATTGAATTTTGTATGTCAAATGTTTCAATTTAGAACCTAATTTTGTTAGTTAGAGTAATCTTCCATTTGATTGTTTGTTTGATTAATCAGGGATTTCATCATTCATGTGTTTAATTGGTTGATTTTGCTGTGTTCTGCGGTAACTTGATGTGCGGAATCAAAAAGCGTTGAAGTTGAGAAAGATAATTGCAATTTGCCACTAATTACTATGCATAAGAGCAACGAAACTCGGTAATCAATTTTTTTTCTTTTTATATTGATTATTAGATAGTTGAATATCATTATTTTGCTGTATATTTCTCCTATCTGCATTTTAATTCCAATATATCCAATTCATGTATTACATTTTAGTGATTATTAGTACCGTACTATGTGTATGTATCGCACTTTTCTTTTAATTGATTGCGAATTCCTTTGTGTAGTATTTTATACTTCGTATAAGTGAGTTTTATTTCTTCAAATTTGAGATTAATATTCTTGATTGAAATGGTTTTTTTTTTCTTAGAAATTAATTCTAATCATATATTTAGTTTGAATTTTCACTTATACAATTTTGTAATTTGCTTTGCAGTTTTACGAGTATAAAAAAAAAAAAAAAGAAAAAAAAAAGTACTAGAACAGTTAAGAAGAATGGAAGATTTTTTTATTATTATTTTTTTTTTTTTTTTTTCTTATCTTTGTTGTTCTTGTTATAGTAAATGATGAATTTCTTGCAGTTATTAGTTTGCAAAATATAATTGTACGGTCTTTGGAATATTTTTTTTCCAATTTTAAATTTGATCTCATTGTATTTACTTTTTTTTTTCCAATTTTGAATTCGATCTCATTGTATTTACTTTTTGAATTTTATCCTTTTTTTTTTTCAATTTACCTTTTGAATTTTATCCTAAAAATATATGAAGTAGCTGTAAATCTGTGGAAAAGATTCTCAATTAAGTAATTCATTATTAATTTTTTTTAATAATATATGAGGAATAGAGGATTGTTATGTTACATAACAGCTCTCTTAATATCAAGGAAAACAGAACGGTTAAGTAGGATAACCGTTGTTTATTCCTTCTTTCTTTATTGATTTTAGGAAGATAAAAGAGAACGGTTGTTCCTAAGAACCGTTCTCTATTATTCAACATATAAAACGTCTCTTAGACCCGTTCTCTAAACTTTATACATCGCTTAGCAGAAGAACGGCTGTAAGGAGTTCTATAAAGCCTCTTTTAACCGTTCTCTAATCCCTTTTTTGTAGTAGTGTGCCTTCCTGCATATTGCAATATAATAATTATCCTCTATTTATCTTTATTAGAGCATTTCCATCCATGATATTAAGGACATGTTCACTTCAGCTTAATTTCAGTTCAGTTCAGTTCAACTCCAATCAATTCAGTTTAGTTCGGCTCCTAATTTCCTCTCTCATAAAATATTCATTTCAGCCCAGTTCAGTTCATTTCAGCTCCAAACAGTTCAACTCAACTCAGTTCAATAAATGTGAACAAGCCTTAATTTATACCATAGGATGAAATTTTTGGCAAAATCAATATATACCATGCATGTAATTAACTCTGCCTATATGGTATATATAAAATCGTGTTATGCCATGGTATGAATGTAGTTTAATTAAAACTAATCCAACATTCTTCTTCCAAAAAAAAAAAAAAAAAAAACCTAATCCAACGTAATCCAAAATTACAATACTATTTCTTATAGATTAATGAAAATTTTTATTATTTGACTCACAATATTATATTAGGACAAAGAAACAGTAAATTTACATTTCATATTCATGGCACAATTATATTTGTATTGCATAACAAGAGGACTTTATTACGAATTACTAGTAATTTAAGTAGTTTATTATAAACTGCCTAATTGTAGCTTGACTTTAAGCTTGAGCTCCTCCGATCCCATGCAACAACTTTTTATAAGCAAGTTAATTGTAGAACATTGCAAAGACATTCTTGCCGTCGTTTGATCCACTAGCTTTGCCTCCGAAAATTGAGTCCTCATAAGTGCTACGGTCTTCGGACGCATCAAGTTTGACTTCGACTACATTCCAATCGGTTGGTCCAATTGGCCCAGCTTCTACATAAACCTGTAAACAATTTTAAATTTTAGTTTGAGTCATAAGAGTTGGGTTGAGTCTTTTGTATAAAGTTAGGTATGTTTTATTACAGGTTGAAAGACCGTCCTTAAAAGTGTTATAATAATGTTACCTTCTTTTTCAAAAGGTCAAAAGCCAAAAGCCATTTTCGCGGAGGAAAACTTTTTTGGTCAGCATAAACCACTCCTCCCTTAGACCCTTGTGGAAGAGGCCCTTTGTGCTTGAATTCAACGGGATGCATCTGAATTATAATAGACGAGGGGAAGCTCGGCACCGGATTTCCATACCAATTATGTTGATCATATAAATGCATAGTTAAATTGTTCTTTTGACGGTTTACAATTAAACCGCGAGTAACAGCTTCCTCCTGGTCATCAGCTTTTGGCTCCAATGCTGCTTTCTCCCTTGCCACCGCCATCATCTCCTCGAAAGTAGCATTATTATCATCACTAAGCACTGCTGCTGGGACGACTTCCTGGGTTGCGGCCATGTCTTTTTCTTATCCTGCCCAACAATCGAATCGAATTAGATGCATGAAAACACACAAATGTACATAGTATAACATAAATCCAACAAAATTAAAACGTGCATTATAATGGCTTTCCAATTTAGATTAGTTGTGATTGTCTGATAATAATATGGTGATTAAAGATAGAATATGTATATAAACTACCATTCTTAATAATTAAAATAAAATTAAAAAGGAAAAGGATCGAAAGAAAGATCAGGATGGAGGGGAAGAGTTACTCTCACTCACAGTGAACGTACAGCAATGTATAAATTATGTTTCAAGCAAGTTACAAATCAACAATGCCTTAAAGGATATAGATCAACTGCATATTTATAGAAGGGGATCAACAATTGTTTATTGTGGGAAAATACAAGTTAATCTGCCAGATAAACGAATTTTTGTTAATCTGATGGCATTTTTGTAAATATATTGAAAAAACAGGGTCATTTATTCAGTACTTTTGGTAAGTTGTCCAAATACTGTTTGCTTTTTACTTATACTATTTGGTGAGGAAATTACACATGTACCCCTTAACTAGTACATGAAAAGACATATATACCCCTTCACTGCTACTTAAAAAGACAATTATACCCCCAGATAATATTTTGTTTATCTAGGGAATTGACTGGGTATCCCTCGTTTATTATTCAATAGAAAAAAATATTAAAAAATTGATATTATAGACATTAAAATTAACTACTCTAGAAAGACTTTAAAAAATACAAAGTAATATTTGTCTTTTATAAGATACGGAGTAGTATAATATCAAATCAAAATTGATACAAAGTAATTGATGATAAATCAAAATTTAAATTGATGAACTCAATATGGTTTTTTTTTCACCTTATTCCAATAATAGTCATTTAAAATAATTTATGTTCAATAAGTTCAACAAAAATAAGTTTAATTTAATCAATAAAAGTAATTTTAGTTCTAGTAAAATGATTTAATTTCAATTAATATAAACCTTACTTCAGCAAAAGTAAGTGAAAAGAAATAAAATTAATACTCTGTATAATTTTAGAATAGACGACATTAAGTAATTTAAGGAAATCTCTTTTAAAAATAGTAATTTGAGAATAAAACGTGTTAAAAAGAGAAGATAGCAAAGCAAATAATTCATTTTGGTCAAAAGCACGCAATAAGCTGATAATGGCGAATTCATTCTAGATATAAAGATAGTCCATGGCCCATTATGGGGCACAAGCACACAATAATAGGGCAATTTTGTATGATACAATATTACATATTCAGAAATTCATAAATTAACAATTTGTAAATGTTTGAATTAAAGGTTAATTGAATTTAAGTTCTTAGACAATTCACATAGACTATAGAGTATAAGTTGTTAAACAATTCTACTCGCTTTTGAAATTAAATGCCAAGTTATTTTTGAACATTTTAAGTTGCTTTTTTAACTCATAACAAGTTATTGAATTGAAGTTACTTTTTTAAAATCATAACAAGTTATTGAAAATATTTTAGTTTTTAGTGAATAAACAACTCATAATTGTTACATTTTTACCTTTTTCTACGAAATTATTAAAATTCTATACACTAACAGACTCGAATAATATTATGCCGACTTCAAGCATGCAACGATTCAAAGGAAGTCCACTAACTTCTTGCAAGATTTGCTAATTATCCTAAAGTATCTTGTTCGTTCGAAGATATTAATAATAGTATAAAATATACATTGTAAAGCGTAAAAATGTTAGTGTTACAAGTAAAAAGGAGTGGTGGCGGAAGTATTACGTGAGATATTGAATTTAATTAATACCCAAAGCCAATTATTTAAGGATAATAACATTCATTAAATCCCCTAAAAAAACATTCATAAAATAACAAGGAAATGTAACATTATTACAGTACAATTTTATTTATAACACAAATATGCATCACAATTAAGAAGACTTTATTATGAATTACTAGTAGCTTATTATAAAATGCCTAATTACAGCGTGACCTTAGGCTTGAGCTAGTCCATACAACAACTTTTTAACAAGGTTTTCATATCAAATCCTAATTAGAGAACACTGCAAAGACAATATCAACGTCGTTTCTTGCTTCAGCTTTGCTCCCAAAAACTGGGTCCTCGTAAAATTTATGATCTCCAAATGCTTGAAGTTTGACTTCGACTACATTCCAATCAACGGGTCCTATTGGCCCAGCTTCTACGTAAACCTGAAGACGATTTTGATTTTTCATTTTGGGGACGGCTATTTTGAGATCATATTATCAAAGTAATTCATAAAGAGCAGAGAAACATATATAAATTATGATCGAATATACAATCGTGCATTACTCGGGATCTACCTACAATAAGTAACAACCTGGTAATATTTTCACTCATTTCAAACAATCAAAGTTTTTGATGAATTATGATAAGTTAATACGATTGTTAATAAATTGATTAATTTTTTACTAAGGAATTGTCTTATAATTTAAAGTGTTGAGCAAGATTAAAACTTGTGCATATGGTATATATATATATACTACCTTCTGTTTTAAAAGGTCAAAAGCTACGAGCCATTTTCGAGCAGTGGAGTCGACACCATCAACATAGACCACCCCTCCCCTGGACCTTTGTGGAAGAGGCCCTTGGTGCTTGAATGGAATCGGTGGATCTAGATGCTGATATACAACAACCTCGGGGTAGCTCGGAACCGGCTTTCCGGACCAGTTATGTTGATCATATAACTTCAAAGGGGCAAACTTCCTATGATGATTTACAATGACACCGCGAGTAACAGCTTCTTCACGTGCATCAACCTTTGGTTCCAAAGCTGCTATCTCCCTTCCAGCCGCTATCAGCTCCTCGAAAGTAGCCTGCTTTTTCTCATCACCAACCATTGCTGCAGCCGGGACTCCATGGGTTGCAGCCATGTCTTTTTTTCTAGGCTCTACTGCCCAACAACATAGGGATAATTTACTGAAGAATTATCTTCGTTAACTTTTAGTTGCAACTTTGGGCTATTATTTGTGAGGTATAAAATATTCCAAACTTACAACTAAAAGTTAACGGAGGTAGTATAAGAAATATACTTCCTCCGTTCTGTTAATATTGCAACAAGGAGGAAATTACGCATCCCAAAACACATTTTATATGCTAAATATCTATAATTATGTAAGAGTAAAAATTATAAAAAATTGATATTGTGAAAGTATTTTATGAGACGAATCCAACAAGATCCCACTTGACTATATTTTGTTTAACGAATAACTCATATTATATGGTCAAACAAGAGTGATGAATAGTGCAAAAAGTCTATCGTTGCAATATTAATAGAACAGAGGAAGTATAGTTCTAGAACACACATTTAATTAACCTGAAATAAATCAAATAAAATTTAAACTTACATGACCATGATTTACTGTAATTGACTGCTTGCACCAATTGTGAGCAATCTTGTGGTATGACTAGGGGTGTACAAAAACTGGACCGGACCTGAAACCGGACCTGAACCGACCTGATCCGGACCGGACCTGACCCGGACCTGTTGATTCAGGTCCGGTCCCGGTCCTTAAAAATCAAGGTTCCCGGTTCCGGTCCGGACCCGGTCTAAACCCGGGGTTTTCAGGTCCGGACCTGAAACCCGGAAAAATTGTTTTTTTTTTAAAAAAAAAAAAAAATAATAAAATAAAATAAAATAATGCTGCTGCTTCCTGCTTGACAGCTTGAGGCCTTGAGTGACGCTTGAATTCTCCTTCATTTCATTCTAACCCTAACAAACACAGGCTGTCTCCACTCTCCCCCTCTCCCTCACGCAGACACGCAGTCACGCAAGTCTCAGCCGAGTCAGCCCAACGCGGCAACGCCCACCGCCGACACCTCCTGCCTTCCTCACTCTCTCAGGCGAAGCCCAGGCGCCCACCGACCACCGCATGAGACAGCTACTGCGCGATTTTCCATTTCTCCGGTAAGTTATTTTTTTTTTTAATGTAAATCTAAATTATCTAATTATGTTTGGGTATTTTGTATTCGAAATAATGAATTAAGTGTTAGAATTTATATGTTTATTCATGTTTCAATTGCTTATAATGATTATTTGATATTTGCATGTTGAATTTCTTTTTTTTACTTCAATGTTTTCGAATTTATGTTTTTTCTTTTTTGGTTTATTTTCGAATTTCTTTCGAATTTATGTTTTTTTTTTGGTTTTTTTTAGTTTAAAGTTTAGGGTTTTAGGGTTTAATGTTTATCTTCGAATTTATTTATTTTTATGTTTTGGTAATGGGATTGTAGCAGAGGACAATTAGTTTTTCATCATGATTGCATTGTTTATTTTTGTCAAGTACCTGAATTTCTTAGACTCCTTTTGGTTGGACTTTGAAATTAGAGAAAATGCAATTATTTTGATTTCAAAATTAGAAATTGAGAGAAAGGTAGAAATTAGCTTGGTTGATATATGATAAGTTGGAATGTGCCTCTGAAATTGACATAAACTTCAGCAAGTAACGTGTAACACAAAAGAGAAAAATAAAAAGGAAGAGAACAAACAATGAGATTATGAGAGCAATGAAATTTTCTGACTGGAACTGCTGGATAGAGTCTGAGAGTTTCTGTCAATGCAGCATGTAAATACTGCATTCTTTCAAGTGATTCTTCTGTCAAACTAGCAGCAAGTTCTGAAAATTTTCCAACTCCTTCCATTTTCGTAATTTTCCTTACTTCTTCAGCAACCTTTTCCTGTATATTCTGGTGTTTACAAAGCATGTAAACAAACCATGAAAGTGTAACTGCTGTTGTGTCTTTACCCGCAATTACAAAGCTCAAGATTATATCTCTCAGATACTTCAAATCAGTGTCGCTCTGCTCCAGGAACCTTGACAAGATATCATCCTTTTTCATCTGCATTTCCTACAAATTCACACAGAAAGAATGCATTAATCTCCTCAGTAAACCGATATGATTACAGACTTCTAAGTTATGATTCACTTACTGAGACATTGCTTTGTGAACTTTTCATTAGTTCCACTTTGTTACTGATTAATTTGTAAACAAAATCATCAACAGTTTTGACACTTCTCTTAAGTTTAGCCTCTGCGCCAATGTTGAGAAATTTCTTGATAGGCCAAAAGATGTCTACATATCGTAACATGGTTGAAGCACTAGCATCATCAAAAGCCTGGCCAAATTTCTTCCCTTCTTCATTTGAGCCACACATACTGTCTAGATCAACTCCAAATGCAACTTTGAAAATAGAATCTAACGTTGACTTCATAAACAAGTCCTATAGAAAGCCATTTCAAGTTAGTTCGTTACTCCAAAGTCTCCAAAAGTACATAGCTCATCTTATCAGTAAAACACTTTTGTCCAATACAACCAGTAAAACACCATCTTACCTGAATATCCATAATTTGGGTGGAGTGTCACGGAAGGCGGCTAGGGGTGGGGCTGCCAATGAAGCTGGTTGTGTACTTGTGTTGTGTTGTGTGGGCAGTGGTGGATCTGGGTATTGACATAAATTTCAGAAAGTTGGTTGTGTTGTGTTGTGTTGTGTTGTGTGGGCAATGCCTCTCTCATTTTTTTCTTAACATAAATTTCAGAAAGTTGAAAGTATTTCTAATGTGTATTGATATTTCTAATGTGTATATATGGACACTTTTTAAGCTAACTTATACTTTAAAATTTGTGTTTATTCCTGCTAGGCTGCTAAAAGTATGGACTCAGATTATTAAGATTAAATAAGTTGGCTAACCTGTGTGTAGTTCAGGGGTTCTTATTTTTGTTTTTATTCTTGCAGGGAGTGAAGGAAGTCAAGGAACCACGGATTCTTATTCTTGCAATGTAAGTTATGTGATTCTTAATCGCATGGCACGTGACATACTAGCCATCCCATTGTCGACCGTTGCATCGGAATCTGCTTTTAGTACGGGAGGTCGTACTCTAGATCCATTTCGGAGTTCTTTAACTCCTAAGGTAATGCATCGTTATCTTTTTATTTTATAAAATCAAGTTTGTTTATATCTTAATATGACTTTGTTTATACATATTTGTGTAATATTTTTGTATTGAAGATGGTTCAAGCGTTACTTTGCACACAAGATTGGCTTAGAGCTAAGGAAGTGCCAATTGTTGATGTGGAAGAAAATTTGAAAGAGTTAGAGGAAATAGAGAAAGGTAGTAATAATTTTATGTATTTGAAATTTTGTTACACCAAATTTATTATTTCATTGTTATCAATCATTAATATATTCTATATTGTATTTTATTTAGAGGTGCAACGTGGTGAATCTAACGATGTAGACGATGAAGTTGTTTTCGTGGACTCATTAGTGTGAATCACGCGATCAAAGGGAAAACAACTCGTTGGAGAATTTATGTATTCCTAGTACTTGAGAGTTGAGAGTTGAGACTTAAGAGAATTTATGTAATTTTATGAGTTTTCGTGGACTTATTTGTATTTTCGGTGGACTCATTTGTATTTTTGGTGTTTGAGAATCGGGACTTTATAGACTTTATGTAGTTTTGTAATTGATAATTTTGGTTTGTATGTAATTATTAAATTATGCAACAGGTCTAAAAATCACAAAACAGGTCCATATGCAGGTCCATATGCAGGTCCAACAGGTTTTGTATTAAAAAAAAAAAAAAACGAAAAAGACACAAAACAGGTCCATTCAGGTCCAAACCCGGACCGGACCTGATTTTTCAGGTCTGGCCCGGAACCGGACCTGTTAATTCAGGTCCGGTCCCCGGTCCTCATAATTACCCAATTCAGGTCCCCGGTCCAAACAGGTCCGGTCCAGGTCCGGTCCGGTTTTGGACCGGTGTACACCCCTAGGTATGACCGTATGAATATAATGTATAATCTACTTAGGTGAAGATATAATGGTACGGTCTTGTCATAAAATTGTAAAGCAATAAAGCATAGGAATTAGAGAAACAGTATGCTGATTGGGTCAGTAAGGGAATTTTGGCCCAACAAGGGAACATTATATGGGCCTTAGTTGAAAGAGAGATGCCTTCAAGGAGAACCAGACGAGAGTCCAGGTTTCTTCATCATCTTATGAATCAAAAGAGACCAGAATTTGTCCACTTATTTATTCCTCATCTAAGAGATACAAATGCAAGATTCTTGATGAATTGAATTTATCTATCTTGTAAATGTAGACAATTACAAAATATCATGTATTTAATATACAAATTTACATAACAAATTTGCATAGCAACGTACTCGGTTGTACAATGTACAATGTATATTCATGTGAACATCCATACAATTGGTATATGAAATCGAATTGATATAATGATATTCTATAACTTCCAACTTGTAAGTTGAAACCCAAAAAACTCTCATATTAAAAGAGAAGGACTTTCACTAAACAGCAAATAATAATTTCATAAAATTATTAGTAATAAAAAAAATGTTGGCTAATGTAAGAGAAAAGAAAGTGATTAATACATATTTTCCAATGATGAATTTGATGGATGGAGTTGTTTAGTAAGGTTGACGTTAAGGAACTTAAACAAAGGCAAAGGAAGAAATTAGAAGGTTCTCAAGTTATTATTTTTCCTTCCTTCTAAACTAGAAAATTGTAACAATTAATAAAAAAAATGGAGGAAGTATTATTTTCTGGCTCATTCCTTCCAAATTATTTTCTAGTTAACGAACAAAACATTGATCACTTTAAGAAAGGTAGGTATATGCTGACATCATTAAGAGAGGAAGGATTGTCGGAGAAAGAAGGGGCAGCTTATACACACACTCACAATATATAGGATCGAATTAGATGTGAATGAAATGAAGGAAGATTAGAGACAAGAATGGAGGTGAGAATTTAGTTGCTTAATATCCTTAACATCATTATTACGATGATGTATGAAGGAAGTTATCCGTCGCATATTAGCAATAGCCTCAGGATCATCAAGTTTGTATAAATGAAAACAATGATTCTTATTTTTGTTCACCACAATCTCCACCATTCCTTTCCATCCACTTTTAATCAAATTCTCCACATACCTTTTCCCGGCAACATTCATAGGGTCATTCTCCGCCACCAACACCAACACCCTCCCACACCCGAGCCTACCCAAATCCTCTAGGGTAGGCTTCAATCTACGGTCATTAGGCCCTTCGTTTGTAGGACACATATACAACCACATTTCCTCGTCCCTCCCTCCTATCCCAAAATAAGGATGACCTAAAATCATCCCCTCTACCCTTACACTTTCTCCAAGTTTCCTCGTGGGCCCCACACGAGCTAGGACCGTGTGACTAATATTTCCTCCGGCGGAATCTCCACCTACAAATACCCGTTGAAGATCGGCGTGGTGGTTGATCCAAGGATCAGGCCCACACCCCTTTTCATGGGCCGCCACCCACTGAAGGGCGGCCCATGAATCTTCGTAACATGCAGGGAGAGCACGTGTAGGGAAAAGGTTGTACTCAACTGAGACAACAATTATGTTAGCTTCAAATGAAAGATTACTAACGTAGCGTGTGTATACCTTGGAGGAGGCGGACTCCATGCAAAATCCACCTCCATGTATATAGAGGAGAAGTGGGAGTTTGTTACACGTATTAATGGTCGTAGTTGTGCACTCGACTCGTGGTAAGAAGATCCGAGTAGAGACTTCCGGAGAAATTTGTACGTCTTTTATTTTGACGCCGGTGGCAAGGTCGTCTAAGGGAGGGACTTTTTGTCCCGTGGCGTCGGGAAATCTTAGTACGAAGCGGCCATCTTTGAAGACGTTGAAGAGGACAGACTTGAAGACCACCTTATCACAGTAATTGTTGTTGCTGGAATCCATTGCTAAGCTTGTGTATTATTTTTGAGCTTTGCAAGGAGGTGATGAGAAGTGTAAGGAAGGGTGAACATGTATTATTTATATTGATTATTGAGCAATTATATATTAGGTAACCACCCTGAACTGATCCCCGAATCTGAATTAGCCCAAAGGGTGAACCGGATGGAACACCAACATGTGCACGTTACCTTAATTAAATAACATACACAATGATACATGTACTCGGTATGTAATTAATTTGTCAGTTTATTTAGTTATTTACAATCATTTAATTGATATATCAAGAATTCAAGATGAACTATCAAAAAAGTAAATGAAAATATACAAAAAAAAATTAACATAATCACATTCATACATATATGGAGCTTTAGAGCTTAACCATGTCTAGTTGTAATGCTTGTCCTTTTTACGAATCCTAATTACATATATTAGCTCAATTAAATTAGTTACATGAAAAACTAAAAACTGCTATACATCAAATTAAAAGTTATTACACATCACGGCAACGAACTTCTCCTATCAATCCATTTATATGTTGAAGACCGAAACCTCCAAAATTTCTCAAAAAGCGTGAATATTAGCCTTTAATTTTGAAAATTTTTTAACTTTTTTCACCCGGAAATAAAAATTGCCGAAATGTTTACCATGGTCCCTAATACCCTCCGGGAGTCCAATTGGTTGGGTACGGCGGAACCATCCAATTTGCCTTTAAACGACCAATTTACCGGTTTACAACTTGCACTGATTTCGTTAACTCAAGTCTACCACTAACATCTATGACAACATATAATGATCATATATGATTCTAAACGGCATTATATGACCCCAGATAAAGTCCCTAAATTCTCAAGACTTTGCGACATTAGGCGCCGAAACCTCCAAAATTTCTCAAAAAGCGTGAACATTAGCCTTTAATTTTGGAAAAATTTTACATTTTTTCGCCAGAAAATAAAAATTGTCGAAATTTTTACCATGGAACCTAATACCCTCCGGTAGTCCAATTGGGTGCGTGGAACTATCCAATTTTCCTTTAAACGACCAATTTAGCGGTTTACAATTACCTGCACCGATTTCATTAACTCAAGCCTACCACGAACATTTATGACAACAAATAGTGATCATATATGGTTCCAAATGACATTATATTACCCCGAGACATATTCCCTAGAATCTCAAAGCAATTTTCCGATACCCAAAACCTCTAAAATTTCTCAAAAAGCGTGGATATTAAGCCTTTAATTTTTGAATTTTTAGACTTTTTTCACCCGGTAATAATAATTGTTGAAATGTTTAAAATGGTCCCTAATATCCTTCGGGATTCCAATTGGGTGGGTGGAACCATTCAATTTGCCTTTAAACGACCTATTTACCGGTTTATTAGTTGCATCGATTTCATTAACTCAAGCCTACCACGAACATTTATGACAGCAAATTATGATCATATATGGTTCCAAACGGCATTAAATGACCTCGATATGTATCCCTTAGAATTTCAAGACTTTTCCACACCGGGCCCCCAATCCTCCAGAATTTCTCAAAAAGCGTGGGTATTAGCCTTCAATTTTGAATTTTTTGAATTTTTTTCACCCGGAAATAAAAATTACCGAAATATTTACCATGGTCCCTAATACCGTCCGGGAGTCCCATTGGGTGGGTGAAACCATCCAATTTTCCTTTAAACGACCAATTTACATGTTTACAACTTGCACCGGTTTTATTAATTCAAGCCTACCACGAACATTTATGACAATAAATAATGATCATATTTGGTTCCAAACAGTAGTATATGACCCCGAGATGTATCCCCTAAAATTTAAAGACTTTTCTACACCGGGCTCCGTAACCTCCAAAATTTCTCTAAAAGTGTGGATATTAGTCTTCAATTTTGGAATTTTTTGAATTTTTTTCGCCCAGAAATAAAAATTGCTGAAATGTTTAACATGGTCCCTAATATCCACGACCAAGAGTCCAATTGGTTGGTGGAACCATCCAATTTGCCTTTAAATGACCAATTTACTGGTTTACAACTTGCACCAATTTAATTAACTCAAGCCTACCACTAACATCTACGACAACATATAATGATCATATATGGTTCCAAACGGCATTATATGACCGCCGGATGAATTCCCTAAATTCTCAAGACTTTGCGACATCAGGCGCTGAAACCTCCGAAATTTCTCAAAAAGCGTGAACATTAGCCTTCAATTTTGGAAATTTTTTACTTTTTTCGCCAGAAAATAAAAAATTCCGAAATGTTTACCATGGTCCCTAATACCCTCCGGTAGTCCAATTGGGTGCGTGGAACTATCCAATTTTCCTTTAAATGGCCAATTTAGTGGTTTACAATTACCTGCACCGATTTCATTAACTCAAGCCTACCACGAACATTTATGACAACAAATTGTGATCATATATATATAGTTTCAAACGACATTATATTACCCCGAGATGTATTCCCTAGAATCTCAAAGTAAGCTTTTCGATACCGGACCGAAAGCCTCCAAAATTTCTCAAAAAGCGTGGATATTAAGCCTTTAATTTTGGAATTTTTAGACTTTTTTTTCGCCTGGAAATAATAATTTCCGAAATATTTATCATGGTCCCTAATACCCTCCGGGATTCCAATTGGGTGGGTGGAACCATCCAATTTGCCTTTAAACGACCTATTTACCGGTTTATAACTTGCATCGTTTTCATTAACTCAAGCCTACCACGAACATTTATGACAACAAATAATGGTTATATATGGTTCCAAATGGCATTAAATGACCCCGAGATGTATCCCTTAGAATTTCAAGACTTTTCGACACCGGACCTCGAATCCTCCAAAATTTCTCAAAAAAAGCGTGGATATTAGTCTTCAATTTTGAAATTTTTGAATTTTTTGCCCGGAAATAAAATTTGCCGAAATATTTACCATGGTCTCTCATACCTTCCGGGAGTCCCATTGGGTGGGTGGAACCATCCAATTTGCCTTTAAACGGCCAATTTACATGTTTACAACTTGCACCGATTTCATTAACTCAAACCTACCACGAACATTTATGACAACAAATAATGATCATATATGGTTCCAAACAGCAATATAAGACCCCGAGATGTATCCCATAAAATTATAAGACTTTTCTACATCGGGCCCTAAAACCTGCAAAATTTCTCAAAAAGCGTGGATATTAGTCTTCAATTTTGGAATTTTTTGGCTTTTTTCCCCCCGTAAATAAAAATTGCTTAAATGTTTACCATAGTCCCTACTACCCTCCGGGAGTCCAATTGGGTTGGTGGAACCATCCAATTTGCCTTTATACGGCCAATTTAATTACCGGTTTATAACTTACACAGATTTTATTAACTCAAGCCTACTACGAACATTATGACAACATATAATGATCATATATAGTTCAAAACGGCATTATATGATCCCGAGATATATCTCCTAAAATATTAATACTTTTCTACACTGGGCCCCGAAACCTTCAAAATTTCTCAAATAGCGTGGATATTAGCCTTTAATTTTGAAATTTTTTTCGCCCGGAAATAAAAATTGCCGAAATGTTTATCATGGTCCCTAATACTGTCCGGGAGTCCCGTTGGGTGGATGGAACCATCCAATTTGCTTTTAAACGACCAATTTCATTACCAGTTTACAACTTGCACCGATTTCATTAATTTAAGCCTATCACGAACATTTAGGACAACAAATAATGATCATATATGGTTGCAAACGACATTATATGACCCCGAGATGCATCCCATATAATTTCAATGATATTCGACATCGGGTCCCGAAACCTCCAAAATTTCTCAAAAAGCGTGGATATTAGCCTTCAATTTTGGAATTTTTTAACTTTTTTTCGCCCGGATATAAAATTTTTCGAAATGTTTACCATGGTCCCTAATACCCTTAGGGAGTCCAGTTGGGTGTGTGGAACCATTCAATTTGCCTTTAAATGGCCAATTTACCGATTTACAACTTGCAACGATTTACCGGTTTACAACGGCCAATTTAATTAACTTGCACCGAACCTGATTCGAACCTAAATTGACCCAAAGCCGTTTTAACCCGTCAAAACCCGAACTTAACCCGACTTGTTACTAACCTGACCTGAATTTAACCCAACTCGTTCCTAACCCGACCCGAATTTAACCCAATCTGTTACGAACCCGATTTATTATTGACCTGATCCAAATTCAACCCAACTTGTTATTGACTTGACCCGAATTTTACCATACCTATTATTTACCCAACCTAAAAATTCATCCTGATCTGTTACTAACCCGACTCGAAATGAACACGACTTGCTATTAACCCGACCTAAATTCAACCCAAATTGTTCTTGACCCGATTTCAAATCACCTTAAATGCTATTTAGATTACCTTATTATTGTTGATCAAAGCATTTTGTCTTGGGAGACCAAGTCGGTCCAGGCCAGCAAAAGAAAGGAGCATCATCCTCAAATTTAAGAGTTAAATATAGTATATGGTCAAAGGAGATAATTATCTTCCTAAATTATATAGATTATAGTTCCCTAGTATATTGCCATATATATTATAGTCAAAGGAAATAATTAGCTAGATAAAAATGATAATTATCTATTTATAGTTAGTTGAACCCGAATATGATCTGACTTGGAAATGACCCGACCTGATTGTAACCTGCAAATTATTGATTTGAACATAACCCGACTTGAATCCGAGAATGACCTGACTTGGAAATGACCCAACCTAATTATAAAATTTTCTAATCTGAAGGGTGTGCAGTAATCAAACCAAATAATGCGGTAAAATTTCAATCCAAAGGGTTATGTATAACATTTTAAAATTGTTAACTTCAAACCTCAAATTAAATTATTCCAACCCGCAAGTACACGTACATCAATAATTGATAACCATTGCATGCCCAGCACTCTAACAGGAATCCAAGAGCAAACGCCAGCAATAATATCGTTTGATAATGAGAACGACTACAAAGCTAACGTGTAATCCATGCATCATAAAGATT